CTCTCCACACAAATCTTCTGCTTGATTCTTATGGGTTTAGTTCTTCTGTTGTTAAATTGCTATTCTCACTTTGCTATATTCAGCTAACTTAATTTTTATGCTGTCCTATGCTTGGTTCTTCTAGATTGAAATTTTTTTGGGGGGGTAGAATATAGCTTGCTCTAAAATATGTTTGCTTGATGGGTGTTTGTTAAAATACATGTGAGAAATTTTTGCGTGGGTGGTGCTTTTTTTTTTTCTTTTGGTATATCCTCTCTATTCTGTTTTTCCGCTTGACTAATATGGTGCAATAATTTGTAATCTTTGATATTTGGGAATAAAAGATTATTGAGTGAATGTAATAATTTGCTGTCAATGAAAAGGAGTCCCATGTAAATAGAGTCTTATTAGGTGATTGAAGATGAACATTATTTTAATGGATGCATATTTTGTTGCTTTTTGTGGGTACCTGAAGCTGAATGATTGCTCGCTTACGGGATGCTTTATTTCTCATCCGCATCCCCTTATGTATCATCTGTTCAATTTTAATATTCTGTTTGTGGTTGGATTTGAATCTAAAATAAGATGGCAGTCAGGACTGCCAAAATTGCATCGAGTGAAAAACTTGCTGAAGCTGATTTTAATTTGTGGTTGGTAAATGTGCACCATTATTTTTTGATTCATGTGTTTCTTAAAGTTGGTTATTGGCCTTTTTATTTTTTGCAAATTGCACTCTACCAACTCAGCAGCTTTGCTGTTGAATAAGGAACAAGGAAGCTGAACAATGAGGTGGTTTTTACACAATGGTAAAAACTGTTCTAGACTAGCAACCTTTTATGTTTTTGAAAAATTATGCACAATCCACACGCATGGTGCAATTTGGACTAGGAAATGGTGCATGTTTTTTCTTGGTTAACTTACCTGAATTATGATTCATAAAAAAAAGACTTATATGAATTTAACTTACACTCATTTGGTTTTTTCTTGTTTGTGCACTATTTGTGTATTGTTACTTTGTTAAATCTAAAACATAATATCATATCTCACCCATGTTTATATTTCCTCAGATATACTTGGTGAATAATGTTTACATTAATTGTACATAAATTATATGCAATTTTGTTTTGCTAAAGTTGATTTACATTTATTTAGAATTACTGATTTTGTTAGAGTTGTTTTAATTTGTTTATGATTATTGATTTTAGTAATGTTAATGCATCCCGCGCATCGCGCGGAGTAAATGCTAGTTTATAAAATACCAAATCAAACACTACTTCCTTTTCTAAGATTTTGACCTCTTAGGTGCTTGAATTGAAATATTGCAATTTTTAACTTCTTTTTATATCATCATCCCTTTAAAAAAAAGGTAGGACCAAATAAACACACATTTTTCTTAAATGAATTACTATCTCCTGTCCTTAACTTAGATAATTAATTTATAAATATTAAAAAATTATTTAAATTAATTATTTGTAATAAATGTATCTTGATTTTTTAAACTAAGTTTTTTTAATTATATACATTGGAACTATCTCTTTGATTAAGGGTTCTCTTAATATGTGTAATTACTATGATGCTTTGAACAGAAAATTATAAATTTTGAAAGCAAAGTGAATTGAGATCATATATTTAAAACAAAATAAAACTTTTATCTTTAACTCCTGGAGTTAGAATAGGAAATAGTATTAGTTATAGCTCTCATCTCTTAAACGCAAGTAGTTTGGGATTTAAATTTCAATTCATATATATTGACGAATAGTTAGGCCTGGTCTATCATTTGCCCTCTATATTTGGAAGGAAGCGACCAGTTTAGTGAGACTGTAAAAATTATGAATTAGATATAGATAAGATATTTGCATTAATTAATTAATTTTTACAATACAAATAAATTATAATTTTTTTTTACAAAAAATGGCCTTTCGTGGTTCATTTTAGAGTACATGTTTGAAGTTACTCACTATCTCTCAACAAGTTGCTTCACTTGTCTGATTTGTTAAGCCATCAACGTTTAAGTGTGTGCTTGGGAGAGCAATGTGTAAACCAGAAGTAGTTTAGGAAAGCTTGAAGGTGTTTGGATAGGAACCAAACTATAATTTTAAAAGTATTTTTACAGTATACGAAGTAAATATGTGGAAGAGTTTATCTCGTTTACAGAAAAATACTCCAGAGAAGTATTTTTCAAAGTTGCCAAACACCCCTCTTATATAATACCGCACTTGGGAGCAAAAAATGGGACCAAACACGCAATTCACCTTAAGTTGGGGAAGGTAGCTTTTTCAAGTGGCAATCGGGCGGGCTTAAGACCATTAGAAATTGTTAGAATAATAATTTTCTCTCACTCCTCTCGTTATTCTCTCATCATTTAATGAAACTCATACCTATTTTGATAATTTTACAATCTAAATTTATTTTTATTTAATTATAATTCAAACAACCTTTTATCCAATCTAATTTTTACAAACTAACTTTTGTAAAATCTACTCCAAACACAATTTAATTTTTACCCAATCTCATTTTTTCAAAAGTCAGATTGCAAATAAGTTATTTTTTTTTATCACTAATCCGACTCTAATCTAACAACACAATTAGATTGGTTGGGGTCTTGTTGCCCAGCTAACAACAAACACATTCTTCAAAGCTTTCTTAAGTGTACGGTGGTGATTTTTTTTTTTTTTTGGGGCCTGAAAGTGTAAGGTGGTGAATTTAAACTCTCGATAAAGAGTAGCATGATGAAGGCGTGGATACTTACTTGTTTTGGATGTTTCAATGGTTTCACTTACTTTTGCATGGGACATTCTAGTTTATACATTATGTCTTAATTATTCGTAAGGATTTTTGTTATATAAAAGAGATGATGGGTGGAAGTTTATGGGGGACAAATTACTGCATAGTAAGTTCAATTACAATCTAATGCTATTTGGATTCTTTTCTAACATTTTAAATTTACGAGACTATTTTAAGCAGTCAACTTTCATTTCATATGCTGGATGAACATTCAGAATTTAAATATTACAGAATCCTTCAAAACTCACACTTTACAACCAAGCTTCTCTGAAGCTGTTTTTTATCCTCATGACATATATATACTAAGAAATCATGCACAGTTTCTTGCAAGCCAAACATGGTTTGCTCATGACTTCAAAATTTTAAAGAATTTCCCTTCCAACCAACCAAAGAAGTGAAAATCTGGGTTTAATTAACATACAACTGTTGAATCTGAAAATACTTGTTGAGGAGAAGTTGAATTCAAACTACATAATAATTCTGCTACAAATCAATCCCTAACTGAAAAATTACATTCTGTCAACAAAACCAGAAAAAAGTGCAGATAAGGTTACTTTGACAGAAATTTACATGAAAGAAAAACTTTTGTCAAATTGTTATTGCATTTGATTAAAAGAAAAAAAGAATCTGTGTCACAGAAAACCCCGGATGAGATTTGGATGATTGGATCCCTTCATGTCCAGTAACTTCAACTTCCACAACCAGACTTTGTCTTGGATTGGACCATCCGGTATCTTAAGCCTACCCATAACCAGATTTTATCTGCATTACAAATTACAAAATACTAAATTACTGACAGTGTTTCATCATAAATTTTATGTGACACAAGGCATTCTGATATTTCTTCCCTAACAATTGTATATCTAACATCCTTTTAGAGGCATTATATGATCAAACTATTTCATCGGATTTAATCAACTTCAATCTTGAATTGCATTTGTATCCTTCTTAAGATAATCAATGCATGATAAAGCTGACATGAGCATAATAAAAAAAATTGACCAGGAAATGCTTTAACAATTAACTTTCATACCTTCCTTTTCTTTGTCTTGTGAGGAGAACAAATATTCCAAACCCTATGATGATTGCAACTTTTATTGCCTGAGAGATGTAGGAAAGGGCATATAAGCATATAACCATATAGAGCAAGCATCACATTGCTTTTTTTTTAACTGTGTTATATGTCTCTTAATGTTTTGCAGGAAGTTACTCAAGTGAATGGAGATCGCAACATGTCTTATTCTTCTTAAAGGACGTACTAATATGTCTAAAAGACAATAACTGGATGAATGCATCACTACAGATCCAAACTCACTGATGAAATTTTCTTTCCAAAAAATTATGAAGAGGTAGCTGAGAGTATAAAACTTCGAAAAAAAGAAGTAAACGTTGCTAAATCGAAAGATGATTATGACCTGTTTAATGGGTCTTCCAGAAATTTCATCTCCATTACCATCGGAGCTTTTAGACTTTGACTCTTCAGTCTCATCTATCTTCGCATTTTTGCTTGCTTCAGCTCCAGTCCCAATATATGCTCCATTCTTATTAAGAAAAGGGAAAATAGATCAAATAATGTAAGCCAGATAATCAAATCATCAGCTTAAATTCTTGAACAATCCACATCCCAAGTTGAATGCTTCTCTCATTAAAAAATAAGCCTCAGATACGGTAGTAAATCTGGCACACACAAACAAAATGGTAGCGAAGCCATCACTCAGAATCATAAATCTTATATAGCTTAATTTTGAAACTAGGCAAAGTATGCTAATCTATTACAAAATCCTAGCTAACATTGGAAACAAAAGGAATAAGACTAGAGTACACCTAGTCTGAGACATACAATAGAGAACTTCGTATCTTCAATCTTCTTTCTCAATGTTCTTTGGCATAACTAAAATGCAAACTATTTGTTCAGGTATTCACAATATGCGAGAGACTTCATCTTTGGCACTGATTGTTAAGACACGAATGTTCTATCGAAAGAGAGTAATTAGCCAAAAGGTTTGCCAAAAATCTTTAGATACCTTTTCCGTATTTTCTAATATCGAGGTATCCAAACTTCTCTCATGGTTTATGCGCTTTGTAACCAGACTTTCCAATAAAGCCATTACATTTTTACCACCAGTTGTTAGACAGAACTTTCTTTGTTCATCAGGGAATATCCAGGCCCCAGAACATTCAAAAGGGCAATAATTATCATCAAAGTGTATCCCTGAATTCAATTTAGGTGGTGTGAATCCCTGTTGACACATAATTCACGAGAACTTTTCAAGGCATCTCCCCTTTTTACTCCTTTGTTTGGGTTGCTTCTAGAATCTTTCCTGGAATCAAACAGATTGCTAGGATGATATATATCCGAAATCTTCTCAGGCATCTTCCCTGAAGTAACTGCCTCAAATGCAAATGTTCTCACAAAATCTTTGCTATATTTATCTTCCTCTCTATCTGATTTATGTGATAGTTTGAATTTATTCCTGGCATTTGAATTTGTTTGCTTGTTCAGTAACTCCTTCCCATGACTAAGTGAATTAAGTCGCTCTCTGTTTTCTCCATTATATAACTGGGCTTGTTTCAACTCTCTTACCGTAGAGCTACATCTGTATTTTCCTTGTGACAAGCCCACTGGCCCTTTATTCCAAGCCTTCTCTTTCCCTGAGTGCTTAGCCTTGGAAGAAGCTTTTGTTTCAATTGTACTTGAACAGTGATCTGATGAAGGTGATTTGATGGGAGATCTCATATCCTGGTTTAAGAAAAGTCCCATGTGAACCCCAGTTGTCAAAATATTGCAATTATACATTGATGATATCGTACAACACTTGCAATACCTGAGCTAGACCAGTTTGCATTTCAAAGGCACTAATCATTTTTCTCACATTGCTGGGATTGGGCTGTATCAGATTATTCTCTGCAACTTCATTCTGATTTGAGCTTCTAAATGAAATAGCTACTACTTCCTCTGAATTTATAGCTCTCTGAGGATCTTTTGAAAGTGCTGAACCAAAACCAGGCTTCTTAGTTAAACCCTTTTCTTTTAATTTAGTAGGATCAAATGCTTCTGACAGCGGTTTGTTTGATGAGATCTCCTTATATTGAACTGCGCCGTTCTAAAACATCCGAAATGAGCATTAAGCAAACAATAGTACTTTTTCCAATGGCTTTTCATCAGCACAATAGAGAAAACATTGTAAAGTAATCAAATCCTTAACTGGGTGTAGCTGCATTAGATCAGGCTCAGCCCCCAATATAATGTTAGGGCCGGTTTTTTTTTCTCAGTTCGGAAACCAACAGGTTTTTCCCCTTGAGAAACGGCTTCAAGTTGTAGGTGTCTTTTTGGAGATTCTTGAGAAGATGGAGAACTTAGAATATCAGGAAAAACACTTCAGGGAAACGAAGGATGTTTAAGTCACTAATTGTATTCTTTTCTGTTTTATATTTTCATTGCTTCTTAAGTCAGTTGAGTAAAGATCAAACCTGAGACCTCATCATTCCTGAAGGCTAGTGCAGCATTGCCAACAGAAGCACTATCACTTTCTGAACCCCTGGGACTGCTACTGAGAAGCTCATCATGTTTCTTCTTCAACGCAGATTGTCTCTGCAAAACCATAGATGAATACGAAAAAATGAAATCATTCATAGATCATTGTCTGCATGGAACAACCATCAGTTCCATATCAGGAGAAAGTAATTGACTGAGGCATTTTCACTTGCAATTTCTAAAAAATTTCACCACTACAAGTCCAAGCACAATCTAACAAATCATTCTTATATTGCAAATAATCTCTCTCTCTCTCTCTCTCTCTCTCCCGCCTTTCTCTCTCTCAGGCCATCCATGCTCTGATTAGGGAATTCCCAAGCCATAAGCTAATCTTTTTTTCTTTCAATCACCATGGTCTCTTGCCTTTTATTATTAAGAAAAGTTTCAGAAACTCAACAAACTTGCATAATAGGGAGGAACAATATCAGTACCATCATACGAATCCGGTCACGGTCTTCATCATTGAGGATGAACTGCAGCTTCAGACGCAGGTGTCCATGCCCAAGGGCAAAGATGTCTTCCCAAACACCTTTCTCAACTATTGACTTCGTATGAAACCCTTTCATAATATATTAGTCAGGTTTATCCTAGGGCCAAGTGAAATGGGAGTAGAACTCAAAATTTTCAAATGGGCAGTGTTCTGAGAGCTACCTATACGAGATATTTCATTCCCATCAGAATCCTGAAGTTTGATAATGAGATCCTCACGAAGACTAGCTAATGGGCTGCATGGGACAAACAAGCGGATTATAAACTTGAAGTCATCGTTAGAAATGTTGACAGAACAACATAGAACTTTCAGTTAATCTTACAAGGAAAAGTCTCCCTCCTCGCTGATGAGGGACTCTGTTTTCCCCATGGAAACTGCAGTCACCACAATTACCAGTTATATAAATGACATTTTGAAGGGTGGCAGAGGGGAAAGGCTCGGATAAGCTGAAAATCAAGAGCAATTGCATACCCTTTATGGATGTTGAAGATAACGGAAGACCCATGAATTCCAGGACTGTAATATGAACGAGGAAGTGAGATAAAAACCATATGGTGATTCATAGTTGAATTACTTCCACAAGATGAAATTACCTGAGACCAGGATTGTTCCTGGCATTGCAGAGGGAGAATTCAATAAGATAAAAATTGCTTAAATCGGACAGACAAGGGACAAAAATACATGAGCTTGACAGTTAAGTATGTTAGACTCTTTTCAGTTCGTTCAAAGTCCTAAACTCAGTTGATTGAGCAAGAGATAGAAGATTGGATGGGATTGGACTATTGGAGGATGTGGATATAGTTAGAATCCTCAATCCAGAGAAATGAGCTATTGTGGTCCCGGCGATTGTCAAAGTCCACTAGCCATTGATTACCATATTCAATGCCTGAAAACCATATTTATGGTTTGTCTCGTTTCAAAGTCCACGTCATTGCTTTTTGATCCCTACAGTCTACCCACCAAACTGGGCAATCGCTCAAAATGGAAATGCAATGAAATTATTCAATGGTTAAAAACGTCTCGGTAGATAAAGGTTTCATACTGTAATAAAAGGAGTGATATTTTCACCGTTTTCACGTGGCAAGTTTGCACATAGCACACAAAGACATGCTGAGTCAGATTATGCTGTTCATATCACTATCATTTCTTGTGCATGTGTATTTTTTTTGTCAGTGTTAGGAGTGTCCACCTCCAACATCAACGAACGATTGTACACTTAAACATTACAACATGTCCTTGGTTCATTAGTAGAGTTCACATGCCCAAGGATCAAAAATACAAATTGATGAATAGGTAAGTGCCTATAGTAGGGCACACTGGCACTCGTTATCAATTGCAAGGTGTTGATGTTACATTAACTGACTGATGTTACATTACAATCATCCCACGATGTCCAGAGATTTTCATCCGGGTAATTAGACTAAATGGCTGCCCATGTCAATAAAGTAAAAAAAAATGAATTTGCAGTGTGATGCTATCCAGTAAAAAAATGGACTTCAACGTGCAATAATCCGAGCTTGTCAAGGTCTATCAATTGTGCTGAAGCTTTAACATGTCAACATTTAGAAAACTGAAGTGGGAATCAAAACTTCGGTATGGTGTCAGCACGTAGAACTTGTTTGAGAATGGCTTTTTCTTCATCTATTTGCTTCTTCTCTACAGGGTCCTTGGGTTTCAGCTTTCTCTTTTCTTCCAACATCCATTTGAAAATTTCACGTTGTTGCTCATCAGTGATGGGAGCCCGCACTTCCTCAGGGATGGAGACAGGGAAATAGAGCGAGTCATCATCGAAAATTGAACCCATTGAAGTTGAGGTTGTGGGGGGTTCAGGAACTTCAACAGCAGTTTTCTCCTTTTGCAATTTGTGACCTTTTCTGGTATGATTCTCAGTCCCGTCTTTCTTCTTTGGCCTTGAAAATAGATAAGCTGCAATAAATTACGGAGCAGAAACATTAGAAGGGCAAAGAAAAAAAACGTCTAGTTTATTCCTGCTGTCACCATTCAAAGAAAGAAAACTGTATGTCTGGGATTTAGGTAGTACAAGAAATGTTCTGAACACCAGAAACTTGGGAAGGGTAACAAACATTAACAATCGCAGAGAGAAACACTATTTTAATCATGACACAACAGCATACAATACATGTAGACATAGTCTAATCACTTATTCATCTAAGACACAACATATAACACCTATTCATCTGATCATCAACAACATTTATCGGGGAAAAATTCCCTGAAGACAGCAAATTTAGTCAAGGGATTAAATTTAACATTAAACATCAGTCAAGAGGCAAATTGATGGTATGACATGAAATCAAATTGCAATGGCAACAAGTCAGATGGCTAATGGTTGAACGTGGTAAACATCGAATACGGATATACGAAGCAAAAAGAAGCACTTAATACTTGATATTCCAGTTGCATATTCAAGGCATCAAGATAGAACTAGTACATAACTAATAATGAAAAGGAGCCTCAACTTCTGGTACCTTTGGCATTATCTAAAAATACAATAAACATGTTAGACTACTAAGACAAGTTAAAAGAGCACGCCATGATGTGTCATCTCAAATGTAGATACGAGTTTGATTGAATTGGAAAGTAGACAAAGAGATGATAAAAAGGGTCCCATTCATAAACGGAATACAAGGAGAAAGTAAATGTTCCTACACATTAGGAGACACAGCCAAAAAAAATCGCTTGATTATAGGCAAACTATCAAACAACCAATCAAAGTTCTACTTGGCAATATATCGAACACTTGAAGGGCAGAATACACAAAACGTCAAAGAAGGCCGCCGTCACAGTGAAAAAAAAGTAACAACCAATCCATTAGCCAGTTTTTGTCGACTAAAATGAGGGGGGGAATAGAATTTAATGACGCATTTCATATCGCAGCACCATGCGCGCGCGCACAAACAAAGAAAGAAAGAAACAATGGCTATTGTAAGCAAGAGATAGAAAATAGAACCTGCAAAAGCAAAATTATAGATCAAGAATACACGCCAAATTGGCTTGCAGCGCTTCATGAGCGATTCTGTTGAAGACAGAGGCGGGGGCGGTGGCTGAGCGTCGCTCATTGAAGTTAACAATGAAGACTGATGAAGATGATGATCGTTTTCTGGTGTGGTGTGGTGGTCACAGAAACAGCTAGAAATTCAGTTTGCTTGTGATGAATTGATTCTCTTTCTCTCTCGCTAGTTTCCTCCCTCTACAGAAGAAGACGTCTTGCGTATGTTCTTTGATTCTCTTGGCGTTTCAAAAAATTTACAGTGTGAACCAATTTCGTCTTCCACAATCCTCAATCTGGCGCCTCACTGCATTTTCCATTCCTTCTCTTCTGCTTGGGAAGCGAACATTTGGGTTTTGATTATTTTATTTGAAGCCCATTGGGCATACGAATTGGGGATGAACACGTGGACCATAACATTGGGCGTTTTGACCCAATTGTAGGTTGTGATTTTTTTCAAAAGAACAAAAATGGAAAATAAATATTTCTTGTTACTATTACAATTTTAATTTTAACTTATAAATATATTAGTTTTCATGAAATTTTATTGATATGCACCTCAATTTTTTACATGATTGTATATTATTAATTCCATTATAATTATAAATAGATTATTCAAGTCCTTTGGACTAGCTTTTTAAAAGTAATTTTATGGTATACGAAATAAGTATAGGAGAAGAGTTTTTGTTTCGAATTACATGAAAACACTTTTTTTAAAGTGATTGTAGAGGGTTGTCAAGCTCACCAAATACAAATATAATTGATTTTCGATAAGTGATACTCCTCCGTTCCTTAATATAGGACCCAATTCTTGAGTTGGTTTTGGTCCTCAATATAAGACCCATTTATCATATTTATCAATTTTCTCTAAATTACCCCTATAGATATTTTCTCAATCATAATCAAGTAGAAGAGAGAGAGGGGTTATTAAGAAAGATGATTATGGTGTTTTAGGAAAAATGTGTCACTTTTCTTATAATTAACTAACTTACCTAACTTTCTTAATCTAATCAAATTAGTTAAATGAGTCTTATATTAAGGACCAGAGGAGTATCAAATATAGTTTATATTAAAATGTTATTATGCACTTATTATTAATAGAATTAGAATTGAGCATCTAACAATAATTATAAAAACAAAATTCAAAATAAACATGACATACCATGGAAGAAGAGAGATGTAATACTGACATTATATTTTTTTTCTTACCCTATATTTGCCATGAAGGAATTGGAGAAGAGAGGAGGGGAGGAAAATTTTAATAAGCTCGATTTAAAAAATTGAAGAAGTTGAGTTGTAAAATTTTGATAAAGAAAATATGTAAGATGAAAGAGTGAGCAAATTTAATTAAAAAATTTTAACCTTGCTTTTCAAAATTTTTTAAATCGAGCTTATTAAAATTTTTCTTTCTCCCTTCTTCGTTTTCTTTGTATAATCAAACAGACCCTTATCATTGCTGAACGTATAGTTATCATTAGTAATAATCAATGTTATTAATCATCATATAGAACTTGTGGTTAAGTTTTAGGTGACTATTAATTCTCAAGACCCATAAGTTAAATTTTTGGAAAGTAATTGTCATTGATTTCATCAATTAGTAATAAACAAGGTTGTCCTTCGTTATACAGAACTGGTCATAATTATAATGGAATTTCAAATTTATTGGCAACATTGTGCTAATTTGATAAGAAAATAAACTTTTATACTTAAAATCTTGCGCTTCAAAATAAGTCGGGTCGAGTTAAGATTATTTTCAAGGCCATTGAGGTGGTCAATTCAAGAGAAAGAGAATGACTAAAAATTAAATGCATCATAATATCTATTAATTGGAATGCCGATATCCTAATAATTAATCAATTATCAACTTTATACCACCCAGTACTTCACACAGGGAAGAAGTTTTTAGTTTTAAGAAAATCAAAACACATTTTTTAACAAATAACTAATTTAACTAATTTTTTTTAATTTTTGTAAATTAGTTACCTAACTTTTATATCATAAACCACCAAAACTAGTACTACCTGCGGTCCTTGATATAAGACCCTGTTTAACTTTTATTTTGGTTCTAAATATATGACCCCAATCTACTTTGTCTCTCATAATTGTATTTTTTTTCCTAAAATAGCCCTTCTAATAATGATGGTTCTAATCAATACACTTGATTAATAAGGATATTTTATGAAATGCAACACCTATTTAGGATAAATAACTAACTCAACTTACTTCTTTAATTTTCTCAAATTAGTCAACTGGCTCTTATAATAAGGACCAGAAGTAGTATTTGTTAAGGCACGCGAAATGTCAGCCTAATATTATATTGTTGGTACCATAATGAAGTGAGTACAGCAGCATCACATGAAGCAATGCCCTGGAGACAAGGGAATTGTAGGGGACATACACAATTAAAATGAGCATATAATTAAATCTCCAATTATTGGATACTCACACACACACAAAGGCTTTTGTCTGCTGCAAAAGTAGCTGCTGTTGTCTGTGGGTAGGCGTATAGCAGAAAACTGGAGGAGCCCTTCTTTCTTTCGTACTTCAATAATTTCTTTTTTCCCGCTTTCTTCTTTTGGCTCTCTCTCTCTCTCTCTCTCCATGGATCGATCTCATATACACAGAGTGTAGGCAGAGCGAGAATCTGAATTTATATTGAATGAAAGAGGTACTTGAAGGTTGAAGATGATGGAGGGCGGCCTCTGGCTGCATGCATGCGCCCGTGATAATAAAAGCTGAATCCAAAACATGACTCATCTCTTTCATGATTTTGATAACCTCAACAACATCGTTAGGGTTAGGTCAAATACTACACAGAACTGTAAACCAGAGAGAGAGAGAGAAGGAAAGAGGGAGCATAAAGGTTAACCCATAAAAGGTGAAAAGGATAACACAAATAGCTACCCGGTCTTGTTGTTTTCTCATTTCTCTCTCTACCCGGACCATATATATATATATATATATATATATCGTAGAACCATATGATTATGTTCTTCAAGAAATATATCATCCTGAGTCACAAGAGAATGTGATCACGTGTGTGTCTCTCTCTCTCTCTATATATATAAAACTTACATCGCATTATCAAGCTAGTTGGCGGCTCTTCATTCCTAAATTTGAATTTGAATTTAAAACGGTGTCTGGTATTATAAAGGCCTATCTCTGAATTCCGGTCTTAAATATGAGATCCTATGTTTAGAACTGGAGGTAATGATATGATTTTGAGTGAAGTTTGAATGAGGAGAAACTCTTTCAATACCTGTACTTGAGATTTCATCTTAAGAGAATTTGAGCTCCTTATTATTAACACTGAATTTAACTATTATCATCATTTAAAATTGACAGAGAAAAAGTGTAGTGAATGATCTTGAAAATTATTAATTAATTACCCACAAGTTACGTACTTTCATATTTTAAGGACTATTTACAGTAAAATTCTCCCAAGAATTTACTATTTATATAAAGTAATAGTTTTGATACATATATAGAGATTTTCATAAAATCGTAAGATAAGTGCTTCTAATTTGATTAATAATTCTTCATCTTGGGGAAAAAAACAATGCAAATTGTGATATTTATATGGATCTTCGGATGTATTTTTCCCTGAAGTTTTCCTTCAAGACTATATATATATATATATATATATATATATAAATTAGTACTTTGCATTTCATTTGCAGTACTATCGAAAACTTTTACATAATTGAACCCCACTAAGCAGACATATGATGCTGGCTAAAATGCAAAAGATTTTTTTTGTACCAGCAAAATGCAAAAGTTACTACACTTTTTAATCTTTCTGTTTTCCTCAGTCACTGGCAAAACCAGTTACCGTACAATAAATATATTGTTTTTAAATGTTAATTTATCATTCTGGTTTTTTAAAAAAATTTAATTTATCATGTTTTTTAAGGACAAATTATAAAGCTCATAATTGATTTAGAGTACAATGATGATGATGATGATTATTTCTACAAGAAATATCACAATATATTTATGTGCATTAATTAGAAATAAATAAAAAACTCAAAATTATTATTATGCAAAGTGAATAAATAAAGTAATTCCTGGAAATTTTATTGAATTTTCCCAGATAATAATATTAGAACTTGGTGAACAGAAAGAGACCCACATTTTTTGGCTGTCTCCACTTGTTCAATATCTAACATAAGATCTTAAAAATTAAACCTTCTTCACTTCCCATCTCATGATTGTCTATCCATCATTTGCCTCCCCCTTCTCATAATTATAACAAAGTACAAAACATTGACTACACACAGTACAAATTATTTGAAAATAAGTTTATCATCATCATCAAAAACCCTAATTACCTGAAAGTAGAAACCAGAAAATTAAGTAAACCAGTACACACACTGACACAGAGAGAGATCAACTCCTATCCATGAACTAGGCCATTGCAAGATAAAGCCATAAGAAGAATTGCAGCCTCCTTCTCATCCTGAGGGAAAACTTGTGATGCAGCTGCCAAGTTCTTACTCATCAAGCTTACTGTGAAATCCTCAAAACTAAACTTGTTTATTATTGTTGGTGATGACGACGATGATCTCCCTCTTGAATTATTATTATTGTTAGCTTCCATGTCCTGATGATGATCTTCATCAAGCTTGTGCTTCTTCTTCTTCATCTGATGAGTCTCACACTCCAATTTCAACTTCTTCTCTTTGCTGTGAACCCTGTAAGTCCCTTTCACTGCTGCAGATTTCCCAGCCACATGCAGATCCGACGACTCGTTTGCAGCAGCCGCCGCCGCCGCCATGGCTCGCCTCGCTTTCCTTTGTCGAATCCCACAAGCGTTGCATAGTGACTGCGTTTCCAACAAAATAATAATCAACAATGACAATTTGTTAAGATCACTAATCACAAGTTACAACTCAATTAGCATGTCTAATACTTAAAAAAGGACTAGTGTATCTCAGAAGGTACGAACATAAACAGATGATGACCCTTCAGTAGACCAGAATCTTGTCGACCTTTTTTCCCAATAATTTTTCAGTGTGTGGGGAGCAGCTAGACTTTTAGCTTGCTATGTTTAGTTTGATACAAAACAAAAACCAGCATGTGAATCCTGAAAGGGGAACAAAAAATTTTTACCTTTGGACCTCTTGGTCCACTTCTCCAAAGAGGGGTCTTGGTGGTGTGGCAATCAGCACAAACCCTAACAGTGATAGTATTATTATTATTG